AAAAAATTCAGTGGTGTTTGGATGGCACCTGGTGGCTGTTTGTGGTATAATGCCCTAAATAAAATCTCACAGGAACCTCAATTTTTTTCATACCAACTTCAACTTTGGAACATAACTTATTTAGACATAAGGCTTTAATTTTATACCAATATTAGAGTAAAACCGGTTATGAAAAATATTTACTATATGTAAAATAAAATTAGTATAGTGCATTTTCTTTATAGTACATTTAAACTTCTATAACTTTTTGATACTTTAATTTTCTTTAAATTACTTTAATTCATAAATTACAACAATTTAAGTTTGGATAGTGCACTTTCATGCCTATTTTTTAAAATGGGGGGTGTCGGTTAAGGGGTTACAGCGTTAACAGATTTTTTTCTTTTGTTTAGTAGCCTACATTTGGTCAAAATCTAGAAAAGATGGTGCTGTATTGGCTATGATACCAGATCTCTTCCCTTTTTTTTTTTTTTTTGAGTAAAGAAAATGCTGGACTTTATTATTATTATTATTATTATTATTATTATAGACAAAGAAAAAGTTTTTTAAAAATTACGTTATTAACCATTATTTTTTTTACTCAAACCGGTTAATAATAATACAGAGGAACGCAGGAACAGAAACGTTAAAATATTGATTCTGCTTGGAGTGAACCGATTGAATTTTTTTTTTAGTTTTCAAGCCCTGGTTGTCACTCTATATTTCCCAGTAATCTGTCTTAATAAGATGATATTTAAATACCATGGTCAAAAGCTCTAGTTTTTTTTTTATTGTCGTTGGTAAAACATATAATGCAATGCAATACAATGATGATTGAAAGTATAATAAACATTCCTCAAAAGCCTGGTGTATCATATTTAATACTTTTACATTTTACTGAAAAGTTATATATGAATGATCTAGTAAATCTAAGTTGCTTCAGTCCAGTAAGTGTTCATCTTGAAATATTACAAACAAGATACAAGTCATTCTTATGTTTACTTAAAAAAAAAAAAAAATCAATCAATCAAGATTTCACAGCAAAACATGTTTGCAACGATCTAAAGGTGGACATTAACAATTATACTAAAAGGCCTTATTAAAAGGCATTAAAGGGATAGTACACCCAAAAATGAAAATTCTGTCATTAATTACTCAACCTTATGTCGTTCCAAACCCATAAGACCTTCGTTCATCTTCGGAACACAAATTAGGATATTTTTGATGAAATCTGAGAGCTTTCTGACCCTGCATAGACAGCAATGCAACTGAAATGTTCATGGCCCAGAAAGGTAGTCAGGACATTGGTCGCGGGTGGATAAAATAAATCATAAATGATGCAAATATTAACTAAATTTTTTTAAATACATTTTTTTCATGAGGCAGACGATTTCGCGTGTACATGTGTGTTCGTTCGCTAGTGTTTACTATTTTAATATATATTAAACTGTCATTTATTTCTGTGACGCAAAGCTGGATTTTTTGCTAACTGTCTCCCATGAGACCATGATATTTTTTTCAGAGTTTTTGATGAATAGGAAGTTCAAAAGAACAGCATTTATTTAGGGGGAAAAAATATTTTGTAATATTATAAATGTCTTTAGTGTTAGTTTTGATCAATTGAATGTGTCCTTTTTTATTTTTTTATTTAAAAAATTGTACTGACCCCAAACTTTTTAATGATAATATCATATATCATATCATATTTATTTAATTCAAATTGTCTAGGGTAATTGAGCATACATCACAGATAGAACTAAGATTTGTTGAAAAGAATAATACCGTTTTTAAATGTTCTTGAACTCTGTCTTTCAGCTCCGGGTGTCTCTGGGTGTGCACACCCCTTACCCCTCTCCCAAATGTGACCCTTCCACACCCAGACACATCTGGATCATTTCTTATGATGAAGTCCATCTGCAAACTTTGACCTCTGACCTCAGAAAGCTGTTCACCTAGGACAGATCTCCCTGACTGCTTAGCGAGGGGCACGGGCAGTAGAGGTGAATCACGTCCCGACTGAGAGACTGCGTGTTTTTAACTTCTCCTGTGATTCTTACACACACGGTTCCTTCTTATAAAGTAAACAGCCATCATTTAGACTTCACTAGACTGGGATAAGCCATTCAACGACAGCAGTAGATGAAACATTCCTAGGTCTTGAATCATTTTATACGTTGTGACATATCAGTTCTTTGTCGGTGTTAAACTGAACGTCCCCTTGATTTTCTTTTGACATTCCTAAAAATGACAAATAAGCATATGAGTGGTCTGTGTGCAGGTTAGTTGGTCACTTATAATATGGCCAGAATGCCAAATATTGATCTTCTGAGAGAACGTACAGCCCATATTTACACTGTTGCATTGGTTGTGTATTTAAAGAGCTTCTAAAAGCACAAAGGAGGGGAAGGGGAAAAAGAAACATACATTCAGATCTTGTCATTCGGTCGGCACTATCTGGTGCATATCAGATGTTTACCGCCATCTCAGACTGGCTTGGGTTAGAGGTTATCGTCTAACTTAACCTCACCCGTCTTTCTGCACAGACCTCCTACCTTCAGATTTATTGAAATTAAGGACAATAAATCTACATTTGTTTGGCAGACACATAAAGAAA